CGCCCCCTGCATCCGGCGGACTCGATAGGCTGCAGCCTCTGCCTCTGCTCAGGCCACGCCCACTCCGGGCCGGTCCCGCCTCCAGCCTGGGGTGCGACTCGCTGGAGCCCTGCGTCCGTTTCTTTTTTAAAAATTATTTTAACCTTATTTATTTATTTAAATTTTGACCAGAGAGGGTCAGAGCGAGAGAGAGGGACAGAGCGAGAGAGAGACAGAAAGACGGAACCTGAGAAAGCAAGCTACCAGGTCCAGAACTTGAACCGTGGTCGGCCATGTGGGAGTCCAGCACCCTTAACTACCACGCCACTTGCCAGGCCCAGCCTCCGTTTCTTTTCTTTCTTTCTTTCTTTTTAAATAATTATTTACCAGAGTGACACAGAGGGAGACAGAGAGAGGGAAACTGAGAAAACAAGCCTCCAGATCCAGGACTTGAACTGTGGTCTGCCTTGCGGGAATGTCCAGCGCCTTAACCACCATGGCACCTGCTGGCCCCCACCTGCCTCCGTTTCTCTCTGCTGTGTCTAATTCCGGTGCCGGTTCTTATGCTCCATCCTGGCTTCTGGATCAGGTGCACGTTTGTATTTTTTTCTTTTCAGAATTAATAACCGGTGTGTGCTCGCCCTCGCGCTCGCTTTTTTTCTTTTCTTTTCTTTTTTTTTTTAACACCATGGGGCTTAAGCCCCCCACTCTTTTTTTTTAATTTATTTTATTTATTTATTCATTTTTTAATTTGATCAGAGAGAGAGAGAGAAATTGAGAAAGCAAGCCACCAGGTCCAGAACTTGAACCGTGGTCTGCGATGTGGGAGCGTCCAGCACCTTAACCACCATGCCACCTGCTGGTCTCCCATCTTTTTTTTTTTAAGATTTCGCCATAGGGCGTGTGTGCTCACAGGAGAGAAACAGAGAGGGAAAGTGAGAAATCAACTCTTGTGGGAGTAGCCACACCACAATCCCTTTTTCCTCCGTTCTCCTCTCCGGATTTTGGGAACCCACACACACCAGGTGTGTGTTTTCAAGCCCAGGATCTGGAACTCCAACCACGCAGCCATGTGGGATCCAGTGCCTTAACCACCGTGCCACCTGCTGGCCCCTGTGTGCTCCTTTTCAGAATGAAAAGATCATTTTGCGCATTTCCCCGGGGCCCCTGCTAGCCAAGGAGGTCACTGGGTCAAGGCAGAATGAAGAGCGAGGGGTCTGTGGGACCACCGAAGAGCTCTGAAGTGGAGGGAGACAGTCACTGTGAATCCCCCGGGGTTCAAAACAAGAAACAAGGACGTTGCAGCCTGCTCCTGGAGGGTAGGGGATGACAAGGCCTGCCGTGCTCAGAGGGGTGATTGGAGGTGAGGGGATGTCACCCAGCTTTAGGAGGTGATAGTGTACATGGCTGTCCCCCAATGTCACCTGTGAGGGTACAGCTTTCTCCCAAATTCCAGCACCCCCACCCCCCAAAACCCACAGTCAGGCGAAGCTGATACTTTATCTGGGAGGGACATTTTAATTTTTTTTTAAGGTTTTTGCCATAGGGTGCATGCGCTAGCTGGAGAGACAGAGAAAGTGAGAAACCATCCCCCGGGTGGGGGGTGGCCATGTTGTAATCCCTCCTCTTCCATTCTCCTCTCTTGGGATTTTGGGTATGCACGCACAGGGTGTGAGTTTCAAGCCGCTGGGCCCGGGATTTGAATTGCGATCCACCACGTGGGAGTCCAGCACCTTAACCACTACGCCACCTGCTGACCCTGGGAGGGGCATTTTTAAAGGACCCATAACCATTCATAGTTGATCCCAGCCACTAAGCATGGTGATGTGAAGCCTCTTTCTAGAATGGGTCTCTGCGATCTCTCCTCCTGTGTCTCAGTCCATCTCTCGACCGCTGACCAGGGCCTCCTGCGGGCCTGAGGGTCCAGGTCTCTGAATGTCAGACTCTGTTCCAGGTGTCTGAGTGTCTGAGTCCGGCACTTGTCTCTCTGGGACTGCGTGACTGATGGAGTCTCTGTGTGACACCTCGTGGCTAAGGACCTGTGAGAGCTTCGATCACAGGCCCCCCCAGTCTCTCTAAGGGTTTGTCTTAATCTTTCAGTGGGTTCGTAGGCCCACATGTCCCGGAAAGGTCCGTCCTTAGAGAAATCACCCTGCATGGATCCGCTCTCATTCCATCCCCAGTCCCTTGGAGAGTCCAAACCCCGGGTTGGGGCTCAAAGATGGCGCTTCATGTGCAAAGCCAGGTGGTCGGACCGCGAAAAGGCGCGTGGGCATAGCTGGCAGCGGAAGGGGCGCTGTCCCGTGTGCTTCCGGTAGTGGCGGGTCAGCTCATCTGAGCGCGCGAATTTCCACGTGCAGCCGTCCCACGTGCAGGCGTAAGGCTTCTCCCCTGGGGGTGAGAAAGCAGTGAGCGTTATTGCCCCTGCCACCCAGTCCCTGGGTCCCTACATCTGGCTGTACCCCTTTGCTCGGCTTGGGCCAGGACCTAGTATGGCTTTTTTTTAAAAAGATTTTTGTTATAGGACATATGTGCTTGTGAGAGAGACAGAGGCAGAAAGTGAAAAATCACCCCCAGGGGGGATGGCCAGGCCACAATCCCTTCTCCTCCATTCTCTTGGGATCTTGGACACGTACACACATGCGCCTGGTGTGAGTTTCAAGCCACTAGGGGAGGAGAAAGGATTGCAGCGTGCCCATGCCCTCGGGAGGTGATTTCTCGCTTTCTGTCTCTCTCTCTGTCTTTCTGGCGATCGCATGCACCTATAGCAAACACCTCTCCAAAAACAAAACAAAAAAAAAGTAATTCTTTAAAAAAAACCCACAACTGATTCTGCCCCTGGCTCACACCCTATAAGACCCAGCTACGGCCCCCCGTACACGTCTGGCCAGGACCCCCAGGGCGAATAGCCAAGTACCTGCGAAAACTCCTGTCCTCAACCCCTGATCCCTGGGCATCCCAAGCTGGTCCCTCCCCTCCTCGCAATTCTTCCTCTAGCCCTGCTCTCTACGTCCCTGGCCCTCTTTTCTGCTCCTCTGCTCATTTATGGCTCAGGTCTTGCCTTTCAATCCCCAGCCTTGAAACGCTCCCCAGATTTTCCAGGTCCTCTGTGTCCCCACCTGCCTCCGGCACTGCTGGCTTGTTCTCTGGCCCTGCTCCTGACGCTCCTGGCGGCCTAGGAGTCTGTCTTTAGCCCCGCCCCGCCCGACCAGGCCCC